CCGAGCAGAGCGAGGGTGAGTCGCTAGTAAAATTATAAATTCAAAAGGCTGCTAGGGACGCACTCGAGTGCAGCAAGAATAAGTCGCTATTCTATCTATCTATCTATCTACATAAATATAAATTAATGTTCGTATGTTTGTCTTTTGCATTCCTAAATCATGGATCTGATTGTGATGAAACTCTGGTGGCTTATTTAATATGCGCCTTCAACTGTTCCTGATGTAAAAGAATATTTTTCTCTCTATACATTTGTCTTTTATGCGTTTCTAAACCTTTTAAGCTCAGGGACGCACCCGAACGAAGCGAGGCTAAGTTGCTAGTGTATTATAAATCAAAAACCAAGACATATTTATAATATGTATGTATTTAAAGTTATATATGTGTAGTGTATCAACTATCTGGTATCCATAACACATACCTCGTAGCTTACCATGGAACTAGATGGTGTTGTGTGTTAATGTCCTAACAAATTTATTTATTTATAATTTATTTACTAATAAGCACAAAATATAACTAACTGGTTCACCCGGAAAACGTTGTTCTGCCATATAAATTATGGGGGTAGGTGTAGGAGGGTAAAAAATACTTTACGACCTATTCTCATACCTACAAAATATACAAAAAAAAGAATCATTAAAATCGATCGAGTCGTTATGGAGGAGTGCGACCACAAACACCGTAACACGAGATGTTTATATATTAGATAATCTTCTACATAATAGCAGTATCTATTTAATTAGTCTATGAACGCACCTGCTTTTTGTTATGTCCAGTGTATGATTACACTGGCAACAGTTTGTGTTTTCTGTCGAATAGTTCCAGCAGATGGGTAATGTGGGACCGAGGACATATATATACATTAGTTGGAGTGCATAAAAATATATATCATTATTATTATACTAGCAGAACCCGCGGCTTTGCTTGCGCTAAAACTATAAAAAAAACTCTAATAAAGTAGGTTTTATACAAACGTTTATATTTTACCCCTATTTTACCCTTTTATGGAATAAGTTTCAAGTAATTCTGATCATAAATACTTTTTTGAATTGTATTATAATGTGTTTTTTCCGTGAAAATGAGATAATCTCCCGCGGTAAAGTCACTCTCCAGCCTACACTCTGTTTTGATGTGAAAGAAGGACTGCCAAACAAACAAACAAATAAAGAAACAAACAAACAAACAAACACACTCACATTTATAAAATTAGTATGGATAATGGAAAGTTTGTGTGTATGTTTGTTACACTTTCACGCTAAAACGGCTGGACGGATTTTGGTGAAATCTCGCAAACTATTTATTTTTATTTCTTTTTAGTTGCAAAGTTTTATCTTAATTTATATAGTAAAAGTAAAGACAGCTTATTCTTATACTTCCGCTATTGCGCTTCCGTTTGAATGTTCCACGTCAGAATCGTAAAAAGAGTGCTATTAAAGTTCCACGAGATAACTATAAAGTACCATAGCTTATATTATAGTAACTGGCTTATGTTTTGGACAAACAGTTATTTTAAAAAGGAGAATTTTTTTTTTAATTAAAACTTTAAACGGGTAATTTAAGTTTACAAAGATTCAGACAAGATGTCATTCTACAATCGTTGAATAGTAATTTAAAAAATATATGGAAACTATTTAGTTGGGGTTCGTCCCTAGGTACGTTTTAACGGTTCGTATAAATTTCTCAGAGGAGATATTTTTCCGCAGTAAAAAGTGTCCTATATGTTGACCCGGATACGCGTTCACAAACAGACAGACAAAAATTCTATAAACTATAGATTCAACTTCTGTATCGATAATAATGAATATTTCAATAAGATTTTCCAAAAAATATTTTATGCACCGAATCGACCCAGTTATAATTTTATTATATGTATAGACTACTGGCTTTTCCTTGCTTCGCTAGGTTGCGCTACTAGTAAAGATATTTTCCAATAGATCGTTTTTACAAAAAGTCATTAAATTAGGCCCCATATCTTATAACCTTTTTAAATAATCACTATTTCTATTGGTGAAACCGTATCAAAATCTGTTCAGTAGTTTCCGATACTAACTTTGTTTTAACGTTGGGAAATACATATGTATATTTACGCACTAGCGGCTCACTCTCGCTTCGCTCGGGTTCGCCTCTACAAAAACACTAATAGAGATCTATTAGTTCCAACGGGAACCGTTCATTTTTCCGGGATGAAAAGTAACTTGTTGTTTGACCGGCAATATAAGGTATCAGCATGCTAAATTTTGCTAAATTAGGTGTATAAGTTGTTGTGTACTAAGCTGTATAAGATGACATTAACAAATTAAATATTGTTAATAATAACATAGAACACCATATAAATTCAATTAAAGCTTACTAAAGTTAATAAGTTGCAATCGAACCCAAAACTATCCCACGGGAACTCTTTAATTTTTTGGAATGTAAAGTATCTTACATGTTGACCGGGGATATAAGGTACGACCATGCAACATTTCTTTTTAATCCGTCCAATAGTTTGGGAGACTAGCCCGTACAAACAGACAAACAGACAGAGAAACAAAAAAATTGAAAAAAATCTGGATTTGTTCTATTTGTCTTCTTACATCCCCCGACTCGGTTTTTAAGATTTTTTTGCTATGTACAGACATTCGACCTCTACTGTTTTATTATAGTATAGATAGATGTCATACAGGTAGTTATGTGCGACTCACCGGCCACGAAAACAAGTATTACCCACTATAAGCAACTGACCATAACAACCATGGGGTTACTCCCATGGTCTTCTCTGCTATCAGGAAAGTACCAGGAGTAACCCGCTTGGTACACGTCGCGCCTCCCAGTGTGTCTTTTGGCTTTACTCTCGGCTGGATTGCCGGTCGCTAAAGAGCTACGCCACCACTATACGGTGATCAATTTGAATTTGCCCGAGATTTGCACTAACAAACACAAAATCAACTTTAATTTATAATATGTAGTGATTAAATTATCATTCTATGATATAACAATTTTTGTCATTGTAATACATTTTTTTTAATTTCTATTCGATTGTTGGCCATAGTCTAAGCCAAATTCCACCCCATATTTAAAATGATAAAAAAATTATTAATAATTTAATTATACATTGGTATATTACAAAGTTAATAATAAACTTTAATATTGAAATTGCTTTTTTAAATTTATATTATATACATATAAACAAACAATGTCTGTCTGTTTCCTCCAGACTACTCGTATATCTTTAAGCAGGACGCCGATCTGAATAAACAGGATTCCTAGAAGTTCTGGCCAATGTTTCTATTCACCGGAAATCGATAGAAATAAAATACAGTTTTTAAATAATATATTATTCTTTTAATCTATACAGATAAATAAAATTGAAGTGTCTGTTTGTAATGTCAAAATAACAGCCTTTTACTAAATGCGTATATTTATTTATTGATTATTTATTTATTAAGGATCTCCAATAGAAGTACATATAAAAATACAAAAAAATAGAATCTCTTTGGACATTGTTTAAAATGTACCACCGATTACTTGAGAACACAACACGTGTATTAAGACAGTGTTGATATTATGCATTTCGGTGAAACTAATCTGCCTAAGCTGGTTAACAAAACCATTTTAAAAAATTACATAAAAAATTAACATAACAAATAAAAATTACAATGACGGTACTAATTAGAAAAAAAGAATTTTTCAAATTTTTCTGTCTGTCTATCTGTCTGCCTGACTGTTTGTTCCGACTAATCTCCAATCCAAAATGGCTGGGCCGATTTTGACGGGACTATCACTGACAGATAGCTGATGTTATAAGGAGTAACTTAGGCTACTTTTATGTTTAAAAAAGAATCAGGGTTCCGCGCAAAAATATTAAAAGCCATGAAATTGCGAACAATATCCACGTACCTAGGGGCGCACCCGAGTGAAGCGAGTGTGAGTCGCGAGTGTACAGTAATTGGTTAATCGATGCGGTCATTTGCTAGTGTAAGTTGGATCTCCCTCAAAAAAGAAGTGAATCAGAATATACCGTCATCCATATTTACCTTTCTTAACGCATTACAGTATATATATAGAGTATCGCTTAATCGAGACAAGTATATGTCAACAATGTTTCTAATAATCAGCGTTGAATTTACAACAGGGGCACTCGGGGCTAGTGCCCAGGGCGGCATAATTCGGAGGGCGGGGAATTTCTTTTTCCAAAAAATGATTAATTAAAAAAAATTACGAGTACATTTTTCGAAAAATTGAAACCATTTATAAATTATTCTTTGCATTTTCAAAATAATAATAATGAAACAAAATTAAACTTTCAACATTTTATTCAAAATTTCAATAATAGGGCGGTGTTTTTTACTACGTCCAGGGGCAGCGCTTAGGTTAAATCCGGCACTGTGTATAATGTTTATTTTTATCCTTTTCACACGAATATTCCTTTGTTAATGGGACAAAGAGACAATCTCTTCTCACTCTGGATATACCTAGTAAAATGTAATCCCTAGACCTAAGAGACCCCTTTTTTTAATGTTGGGAAATGCATTTAGGCATACCACCTACAGCCATACAGGTGGGTATGTGGGACTCGCCGGCTAGAAAAGCCAGTACTACCCACTAAAACCCATCAAAACCTGCCCCGTCTTAATGGGGCACAAACCTAAGAGACCCTGTGTAACCTAGGCTTAGAAATAATGACAATGTGTATCGCTTAAACTTAAAAAATTCTTACCTTTATATAAGCTATATCAAATTTGTTTATCTTAGTTTTTAGATGGATGACAAATTTTAGTACACAGACCACGACCTGGAATAGCAACTATGCCCTAGAATAACACTCGAGTTGAACCGTGGTAAACCAGTAGTTTAATTTATATATATATATATATATATATATATATATATATATATATATATATATATATATACACTTAGCTTTATATACATTACATATAAATGGTATTTTATATATTTACTGTAAAATTACCCGCACTTATATTTTCATGATAAATAGATTTTCCTGAAGAGTACCTACCGGTTTCATTAGAGCAGGTGCGAGTCGCGCTGAGCGCAGGTGGGCAACTTTCGTATTTTTCAACTACCTTTGAATGATAAAAAATGTTAGTAAAAAACTTATAAAATATCTCAATGAAATTCACTTAACTCATAAAAATTTCTAGCCTTTTTAGAAATCCGTGTCTGAAAGGCCATGACAAAATAAAACTGTTCTCTCATCATTTTTTACCGATTCCAAAAACATGAGATACTAAATTTGTGTATTTTTTGTTTACTATGTTACATAATACATACATATATTATATTTGCTAATTATCAATTTTCATATATTTTTTTTAATAAATAGGTCATACTTAAATATTGCACATAAATATCTTTTATAATAATATTATATATGTATACGTTAATAAATAGTTTTAACGTTTAGAATAAATTTCTCACAATCAGCGATGAGATTTTTTCCCACAGTAAAAAGTATCATATATGTTGTGATCCGGATAACCAGCTATCATCATACTAAACTTCATCAAAATCCCTCCACTGGTTTTCCGTATTACAATCACAGACAGACAAGACAGGCAAAAATTCTAAAAGCTATAGATTTGGCCTCAGCTTAGTTACAAAGTAACTATGTATAGATAAAAAATACGATAATTTTTATTGATATATTTTTGTAAAAAAAGCAGTGACAGTAAAAATATTTGAAATCCCAAAGTTTTAGGTTTCAGCAATAAATTGGCAAATGACAAATAGATATTTTCCCGAAGGTTTCTCATTAGAGCAGGTGCGGCGCAGGTGCCGCCCGCCTTCGCACATAATTGACCCGCATTAATCGTTCGGGTTAAATTATTTAGATATTTCATAACGCACGTATACTTGAAAATACTTGTTTTTAAAACGTAGTTTTATTATACAGACTAGCATTGCCCGCGGTTCCGCCCGCGTTCAGATGACCAAAAACCAAATTCTTAGGTTTTACATATTAATATACTCTTACATTGCAGTTTTTGTATTTTTTCTCAGAAATGAGATATTTTCCCGCAGTAAAAAGTATTCTATATGTTGACCCGGATAACCAGCTATCACCATACCAAATTTCATCAAAATCCCTCCAGTGGTTTTTCCGTGATGCGGTAACAGACAGACAGACAGACAAAAATTCTAAAACCTATAGATTCGGCCTCTGTATCAATAATAATTTCTATTTCAATAAGATTTTCCAAAAAATATTTAATGTATAGAATCTTAAATAGAATCTTAATTAAAATATTATTTTATGTATAGACAAATAAAAGTCAAGTGTTTATTTGTAATGTCAAAATAACAGATTTTTACTAAACGCATATAAAATTATATACGGTACCTACTTATAAGAAAATACATTTTATAGGCTAGGATAGGCTTAAAATATGAAATTAAATATCTGTTTGCCTGTATGTACCGTATGTATTTCTATGTCTATACATTTAATCTGCGTGAACACATACAAATTGAAGCAAATTTTTAAATTTGAGTTGCTACTTAGATATATCGCTAGTATGATACCCTCACTTCACTTGGGTGTGCCCTAGACACCTAACAGAAACTTATATATTACGCCAAGTCATAGTCTATCTGGTTATTAAATCTGCGTTAAGGAGTTACGTACACACATACAAACTATGGTATCCCGATTAGAAAATATTAAAAAATTTCTTGTTCTCTTTGACTTCATAATAGGTATTGCATGATTCCAAAATAGTGAAAGAATTTCCTTGCCCAATATATCACGCGACAACCGTAGTATTGTCCTTAGGTTTCTCATTAGAGCAGGTGCGCCGCAGGTGCTGTACGTTCGCACGTAATTGAACTATATTCGTCGTTTGAGGTTAAATTGTTTAGATATTCTGTTATTTGAGGCGAGTTTGGATCTAGTTTTAAAGGATTTTCAATTTTCCCCCAAACTATCCAAGATAAAAAGCAATTTTCGAGAAATTTCCTATGCGAAATAGACGGAGAGCTGACTATTTTTTAGCTAAAAAAGCACACTGGCTTAGAAATACTACATACTCGTACATTAAAAGTAAAAGTGCATTCGTGAGAGGTGTTTTTTTCTAAACTATTTCATACCTGTAAAGTTTAACTTATTCTTTAAACAGTTAAGAACTGATCTGAATCGGCGAAAATATCGCTAAAAAATAACGAATTCAGTACGAGAGGTATGTTTTATTCAGCTCTCTACTGATCATCGCTCAATAAGGTATATATGTTATGGGCCTCTGTTTACATATTTAAGATCTTCTTGTAAATATTTCCGGAAATAAATGATTAAATAAAAAATAAAAAAATATTTTCTTAAAAGCTAAAAAGAAACTAAGTGGGAATAAACTGTCGAAATCAAACCCAGAGACAGTAATCAATCTATTAATTTTCCATACTAAATAAAAGTAGTCCTGTATAGACACTGTGTCACTTTTTCATACTTAAATGACTGCACAGATTTCGATGAAATCTAGTAAGAACTAGCAACTTAACCTTGCTTCGCTCGGGTGCGTCTCTAGGTACATTTTTTTGAGTCGAACCCTAATTATTTTTCTAAAATAAAAATGGCCTAAGCTATTCCTTATGACATCTGCCAGTTAAAGTCCCGTCAAAATCGGTCCAGCCGCTTCGTAGATTAGCCGAAACAAACAGATAGACATAGAGACAGACAGATAGAAACTTTAAAAATTGTATTTTTTTTTCTTTTATGTACCTTCTATAATTTCATATGCATTCAGTAAAAAGCTGTTATTTTAGACATTACAAACAGGCAGTTCAATTTTATTTATCTGTATAGATAAAGATTGCTATGTTCGGACCGACATAGACATTTTTTATGCACGCTTACGATTAGAGCGAAACCGTGTGCTTAAACTAGTTTAAATAAAAACCAGCCATAGTTACGTACTCGTAAATTCAGTAACAGGTTTCAAGCACGCGTCCAGTTTCAGAATAGCGCCATGTGGCCGGCACCTGCGCGTTTACGTCACGCACTCATTACGAGTGTGCAGTATTGGCATATTGTTTTAATTATTTATATAATATAATCTAGCAGCATTGTTAATAAATTAAATTACTTATTTAGATAACATAAATTAAATTACTTAATTAAATGCAGTGCCAGCCCAGTGGTAGTGCTCGCTTGGGAAACCGAGTGAAGCGGGTTCAATGTCAGGGTCTCGCACCTCTGATATTTTCATGTGTGAATCATTTCCAACATAGTTACCAGTTGTGTTACGGTGAAGGAAAACATCTCATCATCAAGCTTTCAAAAGACATGTAAAGTCTTGTTGCATAATATATCCACGCTTCGTTCATGTGCGTCCTCAGGTCCCTAACAGTCTATGTGCTATTTCAGGTATCTCTATCTGTGTACTAAATTTCATCCTAATCAGTCCAGTAATTTCATGAAAAACCCACATATAGAAACTTATACACCAACCATATTTTATATATACATAATACTTTAGCCCTATTTAACGTCCCATTGCTGGGCACGGGCCTCCCTATAATACGAGGGGGATCAGGCCATAGTCCACCACGCTGGCCAAGTGCGGGTTGGCGGTTCCATACCCGAAGAGTGCCAACGGGATCCTATTACTATGCCTCCGCTGTCCGTCCGCCTGTCTGACAGCGGGCTTTCTTTGATGAACAGCAGAAAAAGGAGAGTAATTTGTAAGAACGTACCGATTTCTCAACGTAACACGGGTATGAAGACAAATGTTCGTAACCACCTATTTGCATTTTTTTGAACTTTGAATATATTTTTTACGTCATGTACAATAGGAAACTTTTTTATTACACAAAATTTGTTATTGTAAAAAGCGTAATAAATAAGATTTCTTTTAAATATAAAATTGATGTTGGCCTTGCCGTCTACGCTAAGTAATAGCTAAATTGTTAAAATATATGTTTGTAATCACATTGTAAGTCTGCATACCTACCTACTATAAGTAATAATGTAATAAATAATAAGTTATTAAGATTAAATCTTGCTTGTATTATTTTAGAAGCTATATAGGTTTATGTTTTTTAACCAGCTTCAAAAAGGAGGGGATTCTCAATTCGGATGCACACAATTGTATGTGTAACTACGTTACACAATCTTTATTTTTTTAATCAAAATTTTAATTAATTAAAAGTCTAAATTAAAAAAAATCGTCGCTTATCTTAAAAAAAATGTATGTTACGCAATCTTAGTAACTGGAAAAGCAATTTTAATCTTTGTTTAATTAATAGCCTAATTTAATAAAAAATATATATATTATGCTTAAAAAATATGAAAACATGGCTTAGTATAATTCACCCTCGTACCGACGTGTAGAGAACACATGAGTATAAATAAGCCGCGCCCCCGCACCACATGGCCGCACGCGCGTCACGCGGTCAGCTGTGCGATATGGGTTGAACAATTAGACGTACCAATTTTCTAGTACATAGTTTGAAAGACCAATTTCTTTTTTTTCTAAAATCCTTTCGCAAACAAAAATGCAGGATTGCAACGACTTACAAAAAATTAATAAATAAAATCCGACTAATATCATAAATGCGAAGCGTTTATGAGGATATATGGTTGTCTGGATGTATAGATGTATGGATATTTGTTACTCTTTCACGCAAAAACTACTATATGGATTTCAATAAAACTTTACAATAATATTGCTCATACATTAGTATAAGACATAGGCTAATTTTTATCCCGGAAAAATGTACGGTTCCCGTTGGATAAATTTGTTTTTATCTACAGTATAAGCAAAAGTGAGTAAAAATTTCATTTTTTTTCTCTAAAAACTCCAAAAGTTTGACTTAAAAATTATTACGATCCAATTTTTCAAATCCGTGATTTTGACCTAGCAACAATCTTAACCAGTAACAGCTGCATAATCAGTCTAGTTTATAATAAGTATTTCTTAATTTTTACTAAACCTATTTAATTTCCTTAAGAAGATTAATCGTTAAAACATAGCAGGTAAAGTTCTGCGTTAACTGAAATAAAGTATGGTAATA